CTTGGGTAAGCAGGGGACACACGTGTGAAGAATATAATGCCACAAATATTGGAGACTTTAGACTGAATTTGTACCAACTAAGTGTGTAGTGCCACCTAATGAGTGCTGGTTTCTATCTGGAGTTCATTAGAGAAGCCCTAACCAGCCCTTGCATCTCACATGGCTATGTAACAGCACAGGGAACAGAGACCAAGAGAGTGAAAACCGACAGCAAATTTCAGAGTGCTGTCCACAACGTCAGAAGTTCCACTACAAATCCAGCAAAAAAGCTCCATGACAGGTCATAGATATCATAACTGCCTAAAATTTGCATAACATAATTTTTAAAACAAGTAATAGACACTGGATTCATGTTCTATAAAGAGATCTTATAAACCAGTTAAAACACACACACACACACACACACCATCAGCATTTTCCAGCAAGGAGACATTTTACACAAGAAATACACATTTCTAATAAACACATAAAATTATTTAATCTCATTAATAAATATACTCAAACAGCAACATAAAAACACCCTCTTTAAACTGTTAACTTGGCAAATTGAGAAAATCAGTTCTACTGAATGCTGGCAAGGATACAACCAAGGGTGTACTCTCTTGCACTAATCAGATCTAATATATAGAAAACTTCCACAGAATAACACAAGACAAAGAGCCCTTGGGAAAATGGGCAAAAGGTCTGAACAGGCAATTCACAGAAGAGCTGCCAGTGGCTGAGATAGATTAGGTATAGATATTGATTCAGATACAGGTAGAAATTCAGATACAGACAAATATTCACCATCACAATTGGGGAAGGTCAAAGTAGAAAAAAAACAATTCTTGACCTCTGACATAATAAATTCTGATAAATGCTGTTCCTAGAAAGTTGCTGTGGTTCTGATGAGTGTCCCCAAGGTTGAAGCATTAAAGGTTTAGTCTCCATAGTGGTGCTATTAGAAGATGGGCCTAGGAGGAGGTTTGCAGGTCATTGAGGGTGTGTTGGTGAATGGGATGTGGGACCCTTGGGAGGGGAGTCTGTTTTGTTTTGTTTTGTTTTGTTTTGTTCTGTGTTTCCTGGCTCATAATTTAAGAAGTTTTGCTCTGTCACTCCCACCATGATGTACTGTCTTTGCCAGAAGTCCATGATGCCACATGACTTTGGACTAAAACTTCAGAACCCTGAGCTAAAACAAACTTTTTCTCTTTTTGTTAATTAATTCAAGTATTTCAATATAGTAACAGAAAACTGATTAGTATAGAAGAGTTTGAAAAAACAGCCAATCACTCACAAATTACTAGTAGGAATAAATATTCCTTCAGCATTTTTGGAGGATCATTAAAGGGATCTGAAATCACTGACGTCTTCATCTTTGAAGACAGAAAGCTATTATTTACACTTCTCTCCTTAAACATACATTCCCAATTATTTCTGTTTCAGGAAATAATCATTACTCCAAGGTCCACTATTCTCTAATTTAAAAAGACACATCTTTTAAAACACAATTTCAAGTAATGGAGATGTTTTTCCTATGTTTTGATCCATTTTATTTCCATCTTCATTCTAGGCAGTCTGATTAATTATCTCTCATTTTTATCAATCTGTTAAGAGTGTGGTGACCAATGTGGGTACCAAGTTACCCTTTTTATTTTTCTGGTGCTGGGGATCAAACCTAGGACTTAGCTCAAGCTAAGAATGTGCTCTACCTCTGCACTACATGCCCAGCCCCATATTACTCTGAAAAACAAAGCTTTAAATGCCCAGGACTATAATGAAATTATTACATATTCAGCAAAGATGGGAAAATAGTGACTGCAAATGAGTAGATGAGGATCTCCTACATCCTGTACATTCACATTGCCCTGCTAATAGATGGCCTGTTCCTCCTCTTCCATCCTTGGAATTTTTCCCACTGCCCTTTCAACTAAACACATATTCCCTCCTTCATGATTTCCTCCGTTCCTGGGCAGAAGTCCCTATGCTTGGAATGCTGCCCCATCCTATCCTGTCAAGCTGTCTCCTGCAATCATTCCAGCAGCTCCTGAAATCCTGCTTCCTCCACAAAGCCCTCCCCAGCTGAGAGCCAAGTGATTTTCCTCCAGCTTCCCACCTGTTCTGTGTGTGGGCAGCTCCCTCCCCTTCCTACCCTGTGTGTACCTAAAGACGGTAGACTCTACAATGTCCTGTTCACTAAATGGCTGCAGTGTCCTGCATGTCCTTTCTTGTGTGTCTGCATTCATGATGGCAGAGCTCGTGTTTATAAATGTGTTTTGCTTGTATCAGCAGTGTGGGAGAGCTGTGTGGTAGCTGTTTGTGTTCACTGGAAATGACCTTGCAGAGAATCACCAAGTTCAAAGTTCCCTGGAGTGGTAAAGGAGACTTACTTATGGGGTCAAGTTTGCCTCTGTGAGACTGACGTGGACCTTTCTGTGCCTGTCTCAGGTTTCCTTGGAACAGGGTAATGCTCACTTAAACCAGCAAGATCTGAACATTAAAGTCATGATAGTGACATTAGTGGATTCTCATTTTAAAAGGATTCTCCTTTTAAAAAAAAAAAAAAGTGGTTAAAAACACAGTACTAATAACAGCCATATCGAAACATTAGAATCTACACTCCCACAAATATTTTTTTCCTTTCTGTGATTTCATAACGCTAATTGAATCGGATCCCACAAGATTAAAACTCTGGTGTCTAGGATGATAAAACACCTTAAGCTGCTAAAATAGATACAAGTTTTCTTCTTAGTATTTTTACAGATCTTGTGTGTCCAGCACTAACATGAATTTCACACTTTTTTCACCTTTGGAAAAATTCTTGCTTTTATAGCTTTCTCCCAATGTCAAAACAAAAGGTCTGTTCTATTTCTTAGAATCTCAAGATCTTTTCCTGATCAAGAGAAAAACAAATGCATCTGAATTAGGGCAACCTTGGAGTACCGAGTCAGACAGAGCAGGGCCAACCATCTCCAACTTCTGTGAACTGAGAGCTGGAGTACTGACTGACAGTGTGAAACAGGGGAATGCAGAAATCACACAATTTCATCTGATGTTTTATCCTTAATTTTTCCCCAAAGTGTGGCATGGAATTTTTTTAAAGCCTCATTTTGAATCTACTGGAGTGCAGACCAGATACAGAGACTTTTTTTCATTATTATGTACAACTACATCCTGTAATGTAGTCAGCAGCACTCCAGAAAAGCAAAAGATTTCTCCTCCCTCGTCTGCAAGGGAACAAGAGAAATGGAATAAGCTCAGGCTTCAAATCTCTGATCCAGGTGAGTGCTGCTTTTCTATTTGATATAAGCACTAACAAAAATATCCCAAGGAGGCCAACTGAGAATATACATGTAGTTATAGATACTGGAAAATGGAAGCATATAAAGCCTTAGCATTTCTGCCTTCTGATGAACCAGTGGGGATGAGCTGCTTCTGTTCATGTCCGCCGGCCGCGTTTGTGCATGCACACCCACTGAGTCGAGGGTCACCCACACAGGACCTCAGCAGACAGACGGTAAAAGCAGGTGAGTGGCCGCTGACTGCTGAACCCGCCTGCCTCCTCCTGGGGCCATCTGACCTGATCCAAGGGCATCCTTGAGGGTGGGCAGAGATGAAGAATGGCTGTCCCCTGTGTGGCAAGGAGGGGCGGTGAAAGCCCGCAGGTCCCTGTTTCTGCATAACCTTTGTAGGCATCAAGGGCTCTCTCCCTCCCACACCGAGCAGACAATCCTTTCCCCAAATCCAGAAGATCAGCAATAATTGATTTGGCTTCTGGCCCGTACCCTTCTGGTGCAAAAGCAACAGCACAGTTCACTAGCTCTTTCCGATTTGTCCCTGCCCTCCCTTCAAGTGACTCCTCACGTCTGATTAAAATCGGTAATGCGCTAGTCCTGGAGTGAAGAGGCGCTATTTATTTCTGTCAAGTTCTGCTTGGAAGGTTTGAGGCTTCCTCCTACCAGACATTTTACTAGTAAACAGAAAAGTTACCCATATTGTCATGCTTGCCCTGACCTGCAAGCTAGTGAACAATAAATCTTAATTATAGTTAAATGCCAAAATCTGGAAAGAATGAGGCAGCACTAGTCAACTGTGAATTGGTCCGACTCCTCCGCCTGCCTCGCCTGCCTGTCCTGCCTCTCCGAGCTGCAGCTGCAGGAATACATAAATTAGTTTGTGATTTGTTTGCGCCGGAACAATCAGTCGAGGCTGTTTCTTAAGAGCATTTCCAGTATCAGTGGCCGCCCTGGCATTCATCCTACTGCCATGTCAGATGCAGGTGGCATGTGGGAAGTTTTATTTTAAGGGACTTTTTAGCATTATGCTTGGGTTAATAAGAAAGCGCTATTTTTAAATATCTCGGCAGTTTTCCAAAGTAGTGCTCAATCTCCTGACATCTGCTCTGTCCGTACTTGTTACCTTTGGGTGTACTCGAAGAACCATTGAATAACCTTTTTGTTAGCAATGTTTTTTTGCACCGTGGAGGGCTACTGGAGTTTGAGGCAGCTTCCATGCGGGTGATTTTTCCCCCCTTTTCTTCTACTGCTGTAAAGCTCAGGAGCTCCTTGGTATTCAAGGGTTTGCTTGTCGTAAAACTAAATAAAGCTACCCTGTTGTCCCTTTGCCTGGGTCCTCTTGACATATTGGCACCTATATGCAAGAATTAGAGAGGTGATTGCCTACATAACTCTGCTGAATGGCTGTAGACTGTTCCATCAATTTGGTGACTGACAGGAGATCGGAGACGGAACTCAGAAGACAGAATGGGTTTGGCCTGCTCAGTGCAGGGGTCCTATGAATCAATCTGCAATCTACTAATTTATTTTAGATGCAGATTCTGTTGTTGTTGGGAGTCAATCATCTGCTAGACGCCTCTGTGGGATGGTTTTTTAAATAATAAGGCAAGTTCAGATTTCCAGCCTCTGGACCCAGGCAAGCCTGGGATAAAATGGTATTGCATTATGAGGTGGATGTGTAAATGGGTAAGAGAGAGAAAAGACATAGAAAAACCCTTTCTCGAGTCTAAAGGTGGCAGCCTCTGTAGCGAGGGGTGCCCTGGCACTGCGTACGAATTTTACTCGGCAGGTTGCTTTTGTCCGGAAAATTCCTTGGACTGCAACAGCCAATGAGCTGAGAAAACACTTTGCTCAGTTTGGCCATATACGAAAGTGCATTCTTCCTTTTGATAAAGAGACTGGCTTTCATAAAGGTATGTGTTGGATTTACTTTTCTTCAGAAGAAGCACTTCAGAATGCAGTGCAACATGAAAATCACATAAGTGATGGAGTAAAGGTCCACATTCAAGTTCAAAAACCAAAAAGTAGCCCGGGATTTAGCTCAGTGATTCCAGCACCTGCCTCACAAGCACAAGGTCCCGACTTTGATCCCTGGTACCAAAAAATCAAAACAAAAACCAAAAATTTTGCGAGGGGATCAAACATATGATGAAGAGAAAGATTTTTGAGATGATTAAACCCATTAAATAAACACAAAACAGAAAAAAAAGAAAAGAAAAAAGAAAAACCCTTTCTCAACTGAAGTAAGAGAGTGAAAAATAGCTTTCTGATGTCTTTTTAGGAAAAAAAAAAAAAAAAACAGGAAAGAAAGAGCTTTACTTAGTACTTTGAATAGCAATGTAAATTTCACCTCCACCAGGTCAGGTGCAAGCACCTCTCTTCCTGTCCTGGGATGCATCATCCCTACATCCAGGCTCCCCAGCCGCAACCTGCTCCCTGCCTCCTGGGCACTTCCAGGCTCTCCTGGGCCTCATTCTGTCACCAGCTTCCAGTTTGTGTCATTGTTTTGTTGCCTCCTGAAGGTCACTCTGAGCCTGCCCTTCAGCCAAGCTTCCACCTTGGAGCTGGCCCTCTTCCCAGCTTTCTCTTGTGCTACAGCAGATCTGTCTCTGCCTGGGCCTAAGCCCCACGTCTTTAAAAGGACAGGACTTGTACTGGAGTCTTCACAGCCGAGACCTCCAAGGTGAGGATTGGCCTCTCCCTTGGGTTCTGGCCAGCTTCCTGCCAACCTTTGCCCAAAAGCCACTCAACAAATTCTTTTTTTTTTTTTTATTAAATCTTTTATTGGTACATTGTAGGTATACAACACAATTA